ACAGTATCTCTTGATTATAACCTATAAGATATTGCTTTGATTTGATTTTTTCTGAACACTTACCTGAAATGCGTTGTTCTGAAAGCTGAAAGTGTTGTAACTGAACGCTGAAAGTGAAAAATTTGAATGACAAATGTGAAGAAAGATAAGAGCTGCTATGAGTATTGCGTACGGAGGTCGTTACGGTAATTAGTATTTGTAATCGAGTATGAAACTATATGATCAGGTCTTGTAAGAGTGATATGTCAGTAGGCTGTAGAAGTAAATGTTCATTATCCTTAGGCCAAATGAAAAAATATTTGTGTTTCCGCTAATCCTACCTACCCTAGATTTTTGTGCCTACCCTCAAGTTTTTATTGGCATTTAGTGATATGCACTGGTAGAGTCAGAACTCGATCATGCTCTATCGAAGCATAGAAAAAAATATTTTCAAAAATGAAAAAATTGCTTACCTATAGCTACCTATCCTATAATTGTTGGCCTTATCGGTGATTACAGGGGGGGAGTGAGGGGGTGGGTTGCGGTGGCCAAATGGTTAAGGCGTCTGACATTCTGCTACCACTATATAGCCCTCCACCACTGGATCGCAGGTTCGAGGCCTACGTGTGGCAGTGACGCCAGGTACTGGCCGTAGGTCTGTGTTTTTCTCCGAAAATTCAGCTTTCCTCCACCAACAAAACCTGGCAGGTTTTTGAATGACCTTGCTGTTAACAGGACATAAAACACAAACAAACCAAACAGAGATTACAGTCAAGGTTATTGAAATAAAATGACAATTCATTTTACAAAAAAAATATAAAAGAGATTCAGACTAAAGCAGTCATTTTTTTTTTCATCTTGTTATACTTTCAGTGATAAAACCAGTTGATAACAAAATAGGTTTTAATCTTCAGTTACCTGTCAAACTATAATTGACAAAATGTTTACCTGAAAAGTATGTACCTTTTGATATTAACTTAGTACATTGACATTTAAATACTCTGAACGACAGATGTATTTAATAAAAAATCATTTTCAATGGAATTGATCTGCTTGAAGGACTATCTGATAAGAAACGAAAAAAAATATATCTGGGTTTGTTGATAGTTTACACAAAGTTTGCATAACTTACGTGAAATAGACTATAACTCCACACCTTGGTACTGTTATATTTAGTATTGTGTGTCACTGTAGGGGACGGTTACTGAGTGATTCAACCATTTTCCTTTTGCATGCTAGCGCTGTCTTTTACAAGATTTTTTCTTGAAAGAGACATCAAAGGAAATTTTGTTATTAAGGTTTTTTCCATGTACTCGATCTGTTTAACCAACAATTGCAAAATTTTTATATGAGTAATTAATCGTCATTAATTATTATTGTTGGGAGTTGCGTACTATATTTTGGACTCGTAATGCCTTGTTTATTGGGGTTTAATGTTCCCACATCTGCCAGGGTCAAATGAAGGCGGGTACCTAGGGGAACACCATGGCCACCTGAAAAAGAACGAAAGTAGATAGAAAAGAAAGAAGACAGGCAAGATAGGAAAAGTAAAAGATCAGATTCGTTATATTTTGTTCGGAGGTGTTTGTCTACAATCACTAGCCAGCAGGTGAGGCCTTACATGGGGCAGATGCCAGGTACTGGGCACATGTTGGCTTTTAGGCCCCCGCCATAAAATTGGGGGGCATATAGTGTTGCCCATGTCTGTCCCGTCCCGTCCCCGTCCCGTCCCGTCCCAATGTATTGTAAACTTAGAACATCAAACACTGATACTAATTTCACATGGCGGCGAGTGTGGGGGGGGTTCTTGTCTTACAGTCATTTTCTGTGGTTTTTTTTAATGTACTTAGGTTTTTGTCCACCACCAAAACCTGGCTTGTCCTTACCAGTAAATGTTATAGGACGTAAAACACAAACAAACGTTCATTCTTTGTAATTATAAAGTTACACCTGTTGTATATCCATACGGTGACTGTCTATATTTTATGTCACACTACACTTTCAATTTTCTTTATCCAGGGGGGATAAGTAAGAGGAAGCTAACATTTTGCCTGGGATAGATTATAGAACTATGATGGTAGTTATATATAGAGTAACAGACGTCCGTGTTTGATCTACCTTTAAGTCTACCTGTACCTCCAGGTGTGGAAGCTATACAGATAAGGTATATATACAGATCAAACGCTTACAGGTATTTGGTCTGTGTCTATATACCTTTACCCTCAGGTGTGGAATGTAAAGGTATTAGGTCACGGTCATCAGGTAGACATACCTGTGTAACATGATGTAATAATAAGGTTACCTGTTAGCTATAGAGACTGAGCCTTTTAACACCTGTATGTTTAGCATACTGATGGGGTCATGATCATTAGCACTGGTAACATACACATAGCGTATGTATTGGACTCAAAATTGGCCCTACAAAATCTACGGATGAACATTTTGAAAAGTTGGTAATAAGATAAGTTTTCATCTATGAAAAGTACTATGTATTTAGTACATTGTTAGATAACGATACTGGTATTTTTTTGTTGGTTGATATCCTTATCATATCTATAGTGTAATTAATTGTAAAACTCTCCCATTATCTTGCAAGGTTTTTGTTTTCAGCTGTAGAAGATATGTAGAGGTTTTGAAAACAAAGTGTGTTTTCCCCACAAAATATGGTAAACAATTATCATTATCTGTGAGTCAATGTTGGCTGCAAAACAAATAATTCGGAATTAATGTACGATTTATAGCAAATATTGCATGCTAGTGTATTAATGATGATGATCTGATGATGTGGAAGATGAAATGATTCATTCAAAAATGTTGAAGAAAACACTAATTCAATAAAACACTGATTATAAACTACCATACATTTGAAGAAGCTTAAGTTAGCCCTGAAGTCAGATTTAAAATCTCGTGGCCAGCATTTCTGTCCAGTTTATATAATAAGAATGATGTGATAGTGTTGTGTGTGAAACAAGATGTCTTAAAGGCATGTACTTTAATTACTTTATGTCATGACAGGATGTGCACTTGCACTTGTTAATCCATTTCGGTTTTGGATACACCTTTATACAAAAATGTATCCAGGATTTTTTTAGCTGAGTTACGAGCAGTTGTCATTTGAAAGTGATATTAAAAGTCTACATTAATAATTATACAATGTTCTTCCATGAATACACCCATGACATGTATTTAAGGATTGACATTTATTTTGACGGCGTATACGGTTGTATGAACGCAGTTGGCAACAAACATATTCTATGGTGCGCATTAGCGCTCCATAAAAGATATGTTCGTTTCCAGCTGCGTTCATACTGCTGTATACGCCGTCAAAATGAAGGTCAATCCTTATATTCCCATTTAAAAACATGTTTAAATGCTATAGTACGCAGAAAAATGTTTAAGTGTGTTGCTAGGATGGTAACTACGGTAGCTGTGGCTGCTAGGACAATATAGTTCCAGGGAATCTACATCGATATATGAGTAAATTTAGAAAACATGCAATGAACAACACTGTTTTTTTTCCTTTCATGGTTTTTAAATTTTAAATTAAGCTATGTGAGAAGCCCTTCAATCTTTTCTATTCATTTACAACGATCGTCATGTATGCGCATTGACACACTGCTCATGGGGTGACGCATTGTTGATGTTACCGCCAAAGAAATTTGAATATGCATCCATGGAATAAGAAGTTTGTCAGCATTCTTTTGTTGTATCATTAGACATAATGGAATCTGAATATATTCTTTGTATCTAGATGGTGAATGATCTAAGCATTTGTTGTCATTTGACTGTTATCTTGCTGAAGCGTGAACGGCGCCATATTTGAAACAAGTATCAATCCGCCAAGCCTTTTTTCACTGGGTGTATGCTAATTTATACACAGTCAGATTTTACTAAGCTGAAGAAGGGAGACATGTAAATATTTGCACGCGAATTCACATATTTTGACTAATTATGACGTCATTAGATGATAATGAAATGAAGCCTTAGATTATATCACGACGTCAAAACTGGTTATTATTATTATTATTATAATTAAATGCTTAGCAGCCAATCAACACAGGATAGGTCATTAGGGCTGACAAATGGTCAACATGGTGACAGTGGATATACAATGCAAGATGGCAGAAATGATAGCACTTTTATATAACTGGTTACCAGTGTATTATTTATCCCATTCACCCCAAAAGTCGTGTTTGAACCTTACCAAATCAAAAATGTGGCAGGTCCAATTCAAATATATAGGGGTGAAAGGGTTAATGTCGTATTGTGGTCAGGAATATCTGTCTAATGGAAAAGAAGTCTTTTTTGTGATTAGGTGAAATAGAAGGCAAAATGTTATTACAGATTGGAAATGGGAAGAAAAAGGCTTGATTTTGTTGGAGAATGAGTGAAATATATTACTAGATTGTATGTAGCTTGTTGTGGTTTGGGTGAAATAGAAGGCATTATTTGAGAGTAATGTTAGCTTTTTACAGTGGATTTGTGTACAGAGGTAGGGCTCTGTCAATGTTAGTGTTGGTCAGTGTTAACGAGACTCCTGATCCTATTGTGTAATGTTGATACTTACACTGTGGGAGCGGACAGTAATCCCTTATGTCTACAACAAAGGCACATACAGGGGCAGGGGAGGTAATCGGTCCTCCTGAACTGTCCTAAAATTTTATAAATAAACTTGGAACAGCATTGGGAGAGATAAGACTTCATGCTAACAAACCCTAGTGGACACTGACACAGGGACAGTATCCTACACTGAAACAATATAACAGGGGAGATAATCCAGGGGAGATAATCCCATACACCTATTTACCATATTGTATGCTGACGCTATGCCATGTATATGTATGTATGTCCTACAGTGATGTTTTATTGAACAGTCCAGAATGAAATAATGGAAAGTTTCAAAATAAGACTCAGAAACGGGTAACAGATATTTAAAGTAGAAAGTTTGGCAAACCATTTAAGTATGACATTCTCTCTTACGTGTAAGCGAGCTAACCATTGTGTACATTTTGTATTTGTAGGAGTAAGTAATGGCTTACCAGGGAGGAGGAGGCGGAGGGGTCCAGAATTTATCTCGCCAACCCAGTCAGCAATCTCTGTCCCGCCCAAATCATAGGCGACACCCCCAGGATGACACACCCCATGGTTATCGGCAACAACCACAAGAAACTAACCCACAGCAGTCGCCGTACCCATCCCGAAATGACATTCAAAGGTCACAATCTCAGCATAATGTTTACCCCCAACAAAGCGGACATATTTCTCGCAACGCCAGCCGTCAGGAGGGTCGACAAGCGAGCGCACCCTCACACCATCAATCACAACCTGCCATGTATCATTCACAACAACAGGAGCTTCGACCATCACATCACCCGAGCGCGCCCGAAACCCAGTCACCTTATATGTCACATCTAGATCCAGGTCGTTATGGATCGCAGCAAATCATGAACGCCCAACAGTCACCCTACCCCTTACGCCATGAGCTCCGGCATGGTGAATCCAACCAGAGCCTGGTACGAGGAAGTAGACAGCAGTTAGCGGACCTCCCACAAGACCCCCAGAATCGAGGCGATAGGCAATTCACTTCTGGTCCTTCTGACCAGTATGCAACCGTTCAAAAACCCCATAGGGACCAGGGGCCTGTCCAGAGACTGTTCCCTGTGAATCACCACGAAAGTCACCAGACAATGCCCACACATTCCAGTCAAGCGTATCAATCTCAACCCCAGTCCGCATATGGTCATCATCAAAGTCACACATCTTTGTCCCCTGATGCGAGGCCCCAAGGGCCTGAGAGAGGACAAGAATCCTCTTACCCTCCTCATCCACCAGCCAATCAGCAGTCAGGGCAGGAAAGTGAAGCTCCACCTCCTTATTATAGCCGTGGGCACAGTCGGGAGTCATCTTACGTGCCCCAGCCTGACCTTTCACCTCCACCACAGAACTTTGCGCAATCCCAACCTTTTCATTCCCAGCCTTCCTACCTTGGCAGTGAGCAAGGCCAGGCCCCTTCGGAGGGGAAGTACTCGCCGGCTAGGGCTGAGAGTCAGCACATAGCATCCCATCTTGCCCGGAATGAGAGTTCCCGCACACAACAGTCAATCCGCAGTCACCACTCCCGGGCTAGTAGTTTGAGTAATACTCCACCCATACCTGAGGGTAAGTAGTGAACAACTCCAATTACCAAGTGTTACTTCTCCAATACGAAAAGGATCATCTTTATACATCTCCTATATCCAATAATAAACTTTTGCTAATATCCTATAGCTAATAGTTAGTATTAAGCATCTACCATACATGTACCAGTTAAACTGGTGCTGATGACGGCCCACCTAATTGACTGAAACATGTGAACTGGATTAAATTAAATTAGCAGAGATTTCCTATTTGATGTTTTCTGGTCATCTCTTCTTTAGAGTTTTGATAACTCTTTTGGCCGGACTAGTGAATTCCATTTAGGAATCCATTAACTGAGGTACGCAGACCTTCGCTGAACATTCACTAACAGACGTTGAATCTCATTTTCCCTAGTTTCAGTAAAACTACTGTTTACCCGGACATTTTATTCGTAGTTTAACGTTCGCCTTTTCACCCTTTATAACGAGGGCATTCGGCAAATTTATCATGACGGTGAATATCAGTACACTGCAATTATATATACTTCATGTTAACCAGGAAACTTTCGCTCTGTAAAATATTCACCCTTTGCTGAAAAAATTCATTTTCGCTTTGTGTTGATTTCCCCAGTCACACATAATAACTACACAGTGCATGTACAGTGTACTAATATTTGCTGTAATGACAAAAGTCAAAAGTTAAACTGCAGCGATAATTTTCCAGTATACAGTATTAATTGGGCGAACTTAGATTTACTGGTGAAGGGCGCATATTTATCTGGGCGAAAATTTCCCAGTGTACAGTATTACTCTCTACCTTACCTGACTGTAAACCTTTACCTTCGTTAGTAAATGAGACGAAGTGTTTGATATTTCATTCGACCATACTCAATGATGATTATAAAATTCTTCTCATATTACAGTATACCGGAAAATTTATGCCCAGTCAAACTTTTCCCACAGTCAAACTTTCGCCCAGTCAAACTTTATGCCCAGTCAAACTTTCGCCCCGTCAAACTCCCCCCCCACCCCCATCAAACTTTCGTCCTGTCAAACTTTTCGCCCAGTCAAACAACTTTCGCCCCGTTAAACTTTCGCCCCATCAAACTTTCGCCCAGTCAAACAACTTTCGCCCAGTCTAACAACTTTCGCCCAGTCAAACTTTCGCCCCATCAAACTTTCCCCCAGTCAAACTTTCGCCCAGTCAAACATTTCCCCAGTCAAACTTTTGCCCTAACCTGTAAAATCTGTATTTGCCCAGTGTTAATTTCACCCTTCACATTTGACCGCTATAGTTTACTAATGTTGGCATTTACGATAAATTTCGCCATCATAACTGAGGGCGAAAAAGAGGCAGTATATTTGATCAAAGAAACACAAATAATCTAAATTTAAGGAAAGTCTGGAGGGGATACAACAGTTAAATACCATAGTAGCAAATAGAAAATAGAAATTAAGTTTTCATTAGGTGACACTTGCTAATGACTAACTCTGATGCCACAGTTAAAATAGAAAATTTACAAATAGTACAAGGTATGATATTTTACCAATGGTATATAAAGATGAAAATTAACCCATACAATTTTGTGTTCCAGTGCGAGGCAAGGAGGCATCCCACATCATAGATTTACTACAGCGTGAAATCGTCTACATCACAGGTAAACTCAATCACCTGGTAATCTTACCTGGGAATTAACTTAAATATCAAAGAGTTGGGAATTTGTTCAGCACTTCTATTATCATAGATGAATACTTAAAACTTATAAGTATTTATTTCTATTTTTAAAAATCTTAGCATTAGCACAAAAGACATTAAATTGCTATTAATATAAAATGTATTTGTAGTAGATGGACAAAAGGTGAAGAAATTTGTCAGAAACTAATGTGGTTCATATATAATATCAGTGAGGATTAGTAGCTGTGAAATTATCGCAGCAGTATATGTTCCTTCAAAATACGATGAAACTTGTCTATTCTGACCCCTTAAAATTCTTTTTCTCAAAAGAATAGATTTTGTTTTAAAAAAAACCCACCAAATAAGACCTGTATATTTCAATATCTTGTCATATTTTATCAGTATCTTAATGTGTCCAACAGGGCCTTAGATTAAACATATTTCAATAACCTTGAATAAAATATTTGAGAAGGATCTTGGTTTGAGACATATGAAATAAAAATATTTGCAATAGAATTTGAGAAATGTACAAAATGTTAAAAAGAAGAATCAGGTTTGACCTAAATGATGTAATATACGTTATTGTGTCATACAACAGGAGGTAGGGATCGTAACGGAGGGCCTGTTGTGACATTCCCCGGTCACCTGCCCCATCCGGAGCCCTCGCAGCACGACATCATGACATGTCTCCAGTACTATGTTCAGATTCCAAGGTAGGTAACTCTGTCATCCTTCCAGACATAGGCATTCATAAACTTAAATCAATGTCATTGGAAGGCTGAAACAAAAATATTGTTTGTTGCCCATTTTAATTACCGAAGAGGGCATTATGTGTTTAACTTTTTCGTAGGTTCATTTTTCTGTACATTAAAACACTATTGTTTCACTTAACATTACCTGGTAAGCTCAATTTTCAGAAAAAGCGAAATTGTTTTATATACAAGTCCTAAATTGTCTGTCTGTATATTAAAACATCTTTGTTTTACTTAACATTACGGGTAAGCTCAATTTTTAGCTAAGGTGGAGCTGCTAGCTATTGTTTTATATACAAGTCCTAAATTGTCTGTCTGTATATTAAAACATCTTTGTTTTACTTAACATTACTGGGTAAGCTCAATTTTTAGCTAAGGCGGAACCACTAGCTATTGTTTTATATTCAAGTCCCAAAGTCATCAAACTACATTTTTGATACAATGTGATGATTAATACATCCATATATGAAATACAGGTCACTGTGACCTATATTTTCTAATTCATTGAAGTTTGTTTGACTTAAAATTTAGCTCCGTTTATTTGGTTTAATGTTGTGTTTATAGCTCTGTTCCATCAAAGGTGGGAGCAGCTAGGGGCATACGTTTGTTTTACAAACATTTTCTGTATTATTCATCCTTTTGCTATATAAGTTAGTTAAGGTTTCCCGTACCACAACTTAGAACTGAAACTATGCATTGGAAATGTTTTTTTCCCGGCAGGACAGTAGCTTTGATAAATCGTTCCTGAAAAGAAAACCATATCTTGCGGGATTTTAATGAAAAAAAATAAAACTGAAATGAACAAAATGTAATCAATAACAGTGTTTGAATGTTAAAAAATACCGGCGGACTAGACTGGGATTCAAACCCTGGACTTAAGATTGTCATGCTATTGCTCTACCAAGTCAATGGAAGTGGTCTGACCCAAATAAGCTACAGTTATATCCAAAACAAAATGTAATTGAGGTTAATGTATATATATGAAAAACCACAATGTGGTGGGACAGGAATCCTTAAGATGATTAAAAATTAACAAAATAAAAAAAAAAAAAAAAAAAAAAAAAAAAAAAAAAAAAAAAGTACTAGGCAGTTTAATTATCATTGCTCAACTAGAGGTTTCCAAAATTTAAATAATTTTTATTTCTTAATTTATTGGTTTGTATGTGACCAGTCAAATTCAATTCTACTGCTCTATTAATGTTGATGGCTTTTTTTGTGTTACAGTGAGGAGTCGAAGTGTCGAGGATTCACTGCTGTTGTTGACAGTCGGGACGGATCATGGCCAAATATGGTCACTGTGCTAGGGTGTCTCAAGGTCAGTGAAAGTCATTGGATTTTATGCAAGAGCAACTCTGTGTTACTTACATATTTTGTTTTTTGTAATTTTTCAGAAATGATTCTCCAAATATTTTACAGAGAAGATGCTGAAATCATATTTCCAACAATACCAACTGCAAAATATACTCTATACCGAGAAGTTTTCCCCCAGTCAAATTTTCGCCTTTCGATGGTAAAACCCGTAATTCGCCCGTCACATTTAACTACTTTGTATTTTATGTTGTTTATACATGTCTATATGTTTGCTGTACTGATTAATTTGCCCTCCTTACGGAGGCGAAAAAGGCAAAAATTAAACTGCAGCGAAAAATTCCCGATATACAGTATGGCCAAGCCCTGTTAACCAGCCATCACAAATGAGGCTCATATACAGCCATCTCAAAACCAGCCAATGTTTTGGGAACAAAAATGTCTGGATTACCAACCCTTCACTTGCTTGTACTTGTATGCATTTGAAAACCAATGGTTTATTAAGATATCAGACTAATTTTGAAACCTGCTTTTTATTTTTCAGAAAATGTACCAATGGTTTATTAAGATATCAGACTAATTTTGAAACCTGCTTTTTATTTTTCAGAAAATGTTGGGAGAATACATTAAACAGGTGCTAGTGATCAAGTCAGACCCAAATATAGACAGGAAGTCCAGTAATCAGAGCTTCCGAAGGGACAGGAACAGTCCAAACTTAGAGGTAAGGGTACCAAGGTCAAGGTCAAATATAGACAGGAAGTCCAGTAGTCCGAGCTTCCGAAGGGACAGGAACAGTCCAAACTTAGAGGTAAAGGTACCAAGGTCAAGGTCAAATATAGACAGGAAGTCCAGTAGTCAGAACTTCCGCAGAGACAGGAACGGTCCAAACTTAGAGGTAAGGCTATCAAGATCAAGGTCAAATATAGACAGGAAGTCCAGTATTCAGAGCTTCCGCAGGGACAGGAACAGTCCAAACTTAGAGGTAAAGGTACCAAGGTCAATGTCAAATATAGACAGGAAGTCCAGTAGTCAGAACATCCGCAGAGACAGGAATGGTCCAAACTTAGAGGTAAGGCTATCAAGGTCAAGATCAAATATAGACAGGAAGTCCAGTAGTCAGAGCTTCCACAGGGACAGGAACAGTCAAAACTTAGAGGTAAGGCTACCAAGGTCAAGGTCAAATATAGACGGGAAGTCCAGTAGTCAGTGCTTCCGAAGGGACAGGAACGGTCCAAACTTAGAGGTAAGTCTACCAAGGTCAAATATAGACAGGAAGTCCAGTAGTAAGAGCATCCACAGTGACAGGAACAGTCTACACTTAGAGGTAAGGCTATCAAGGTCAAACATAGACAGGAAGTCCAGTAGTCAGAGTTTCCGCAGGGACATGAACAGTATAAACTTGGGCTACCAAGGTCAAATATAGACAGAAAGTCAAGTAGTCAAGAGCTTCCGTAGGGACAGGAACAGTCCAAACTTAGAGGTAAGGGTACCAGGGTCAAGGTCAAATATAGACAGGAAGTCCAGTAGTTAGAGCATCCATTGGGACAGGAACAGGACAAGGTTAAAGGTAAGGGTACCAAGGTCAAGGTCAAATATAGGCAGGAAGTCCAGTAGTCAGAGCTTCCCAAGGGACAGGAACATAGATGTAGGTCACATAAAGAACATAGGTCCTTTTAGAAATATCTAAAAAATCTCATTTTCTTTTATTTATGATGTTCCTGTAAACCAGGATATTTTTTCTGTGATTCAATTTTACTTTTTTATCTCCTTAAGGAGGGCAAATTTATCATGGTAGCGAATGTTTACACACAGTATACAGTATATAGATATAACATTTGAAGGACAATATTAACGCTATGCGAATACAGGTTTCACATTGTAGGGTTGACTGTGACACTTTTTCTCGATATGTTTACTGAATGATATATTAATAATAAATACATAACAAAATTGTGTTATATTAATATCTTGTTTTTTTTCTCCAAGTTTTTGTCTACTTACTGCTAATAATTGTTTGTTTGTTTTTTCCAGCCACAGTTTATTTCTGTAAACCGTCTCTACGAGTTCGTGGACAAAAAGGAACTAACCGGTATGTTTGGTGGTCATCTGTCCTATCACCATGGTGTCTGGCTCAAAAATAGACAGGTGAGTAATCAATTTCCAGGTTCCAAAAATAGAAATATGGATAACATCTCTTCCTGGATAAAAATAAATAGATTGAAAATATCTCTTTAGGTGACAAACCTAGACAGGAAATATTACTTGAGGGACAAAATAACAATGTATGATAGGTAGGAAAAATCTCTTCAGGGTAAAAAACCCCCAGATGGGGAACCATTCTGGTATAAACACAGTTTAATATTATCTGTTCAGTGACAAATGCAGGTGGGAAATATCTGTTCAGTGACAAAACAGGTGGGAAATATCTGTTCAGTGACAAAACAGGTGGGAAATATCTGTTCAGTGACAAAACAGGTGGGAAATATCTGTTCAGTGACAAAACAGGTAGGAAATATCTGTTCAGTGACAAAACAGGTAGAAAATCTCTCTTTAGAGACAAACACAGGTAGGAAATAACACTTCTGTGACAAACACAGGTGGGATATATATCTTCAGGGAGAAACATAGACAGGTTGGAAATATCTCTTCTGTGATAGAACAGGTGTGAAATAGCTCTTATGTGCACTAATTAAGGTAGGTGGGTATTTTTTTTCCAAACACCAAAGGTGTTATACGAGGGAAAAGATAAGCTTGTCTTTGCCTACCTAGGGAGAGACAGTTCACACACAGGTGTGACAGAGGCTGTAAATCTCTTCATTCACAAATTAAGACAGGTGGAAATGTTTTTCTGAGCACAAACGTAGGCAGAATTGTAATATATTTCTTGGTGACAAAAATAAACAGATTGTTTATTCCAGGTAATGTATTCTCAAGGGAGTTCATCAGAAGACTTCCAACATTTAAATTGCTTTGACTATTTATAGGACCTGGAGAAGTTCATTCGTGAGTCGAGGGCTGCTGCGTCTCATCTGGACACTGCCGAAGCACAGATACAACAGGCGTACTCCAAAAAGGACTCGTCTAGTCCGCTCGAGTCGCTACGACAACATCGCTACTTTCAGGACTCCATCATGTCTGTACCAACACAGGTCATCAGAGACGGTAAGTGAACGTCACCGCGCCATTGTCAGTTTTTGACAAGAACAAATCCATTGCAGATTTTTATATCCTATCGCTCAGCGGTTAAAGTTACATGATGTAAGATTTACGAAAAATTGTTGGGATATTTTGTTCACAATCTCAAAAATACAAAAAAGTACATTGATTAAAGAAGGCTAAGGCGCTACTTTTTTCCATGCAAACATTTTTTTGTGAAGATGTGTCAACAGACAAATTCTGATTTGCTTTCAGAAAGATTAATAGAATCTCCCCTAACTGTGATGGTTTGAAAGTTACCAGCAGTGCAATGTAAACTCCTTGGAAAACTGATTGTGATGTCGTAAATGTCTTATGTTTCGCTGATGTCATCTCTGGGTTACTTGCTGTTGTACTCGTTTATGTAACGTCACGTCTGTCGTACCTGAGAAGATGGCAGAGAGTTATATCCTTAGGGGTGATACAGAATTGTTTAAGAGAAAAAGTACGAGACAATTCTGAATGATGAGTGAAAACTTTTCCCCTGAACTAGTTTTAATACTGTTACAGGTGGTGAGTTACTGTCCCAGCTACGCCGCCACCGTGATCCCCCGCAGGGACAAGACAAAGACTCAGTGTGGACGCTGGACGACCTTGAAGCTCAGAAGCAGGTGAAACGGCTGATCCAGTACATAGAGAACCGTGTGGAGAAACTACAGAACTATCTGGAGAATCGTGACCGCACACTCAGTCTGAACCTCCAGTATGAGGAATTACATCGGGACATCAAAACGGTATGTAGGGTACATAGAGTGGTCAATCACTCATTCACCCCTGAAGACACATTTGAACTCTTCCAATTCAAAGGTTGGAATAGTTCATTATGAAATTTCAGGGGTGAATGAATTAAGTAAAGGAAACCACTACATCGGTTACAATCGCCAAGAAGAGTTCCACTCCGAGTTTTTAGCTCACCTGGTTCGATGGACCATGGTGAGCTTATGCCATACCGCAGCGTCCGTCGTCCGTCCGTCAACTTTTCCTTTAAAACACTACTAGTCATGAACGACAGAGCAGAGTTTGACCAAATTTGGTTAGAAGCATCCTTGGGAGGAAGGGGAACAAATTTTGTATAAATGGTGGGTCTGGCCCCCCTCCCCGGGGGCTGAGGGGCGGGGCCCAATAGGGGAAATAGAGGTAAAACCTTTATAATCCTTCTACCATAGGGATTAAGGGATTTTATCCTAATTCAGTCTGGAGCATCCTTGGGCAAAAGGGACTCAATTTCGTATAAACAGCGAATGTGGCCCCCCTGGGGGCAGAAAGGAGGGGCCCAGTAGGGGAAACATAGCAAATTCTTCAAAATCCTTCTTCTTCTGTAGGAATGACAGGATTTTGTCCAAATTTGGTATGAAGCACCCTTGGTTGAAGGGGAACCAATTTTTTTATAAACAGTGTGTCTGACCCCCCTGGAGGTAGAGAGGTAAAACCTTCAAAATCCTTCTACCATAGGGGTTAAGGGATTTTATCCTTATTTAGTCTGGAGCATCCTTTAGCCAAGGTGACTCAATTTTGTATAAGCAGTGGGTGTGGTCTCCCAGGGGGCAGAAGGGCGGGGACCAATAGGAGAAATAGAGGTAAAACCTTTAAAATCCTTCTTCGACCATCGGGATTAAGAGATTTTATCCTTATTTAGTCTTGAGCATCCTTGGGTCCTTGTATAATTGGTGGGTATGACCCCCCCCTAGGGGCATAGGGATGGGGCTCTGTTTGAAGTTTGTTCTCGCTATATCTCAAGTACTGGATGGATCTTTCTGAAATTTTATATGTACTTACAGCACCTACCATGGATACTCCAACAATGTTAGAGGTTTTACACGGCGAAAAACTTTTGACAGGCGCCGCGTAACCTCTAACTGCCCATAGCTGATTTTCCCGATGCTGACTATCACATTTTCAAAGTTCGGATTAAGAAAGAGTATATCGTGTTTACATACATTTAAATGGTCAAAAGGGTCCAATAAATATTCCTTTCCATAAATCCATGATTATATGAGAAAAATTTCATGTCAAAGACATAAATAATGAGTTTTTCCTCATTCGAAGCGAAGCAGACAGCATTTGCCATGATTTTTCCGGTTAATACAAAAATGGATTACATGTAATGTTTCACAAGCGGAATACAAACAAACTCCGTATCATTTCGTTCCGTTTGAAATCCCCCCTGATATTTTGTATTAATCCAGAAGCCATGTTTTAAATGTAGGTCAGAGATGTGCTACAACGACATGGACATGTATTTTGAGTGTTCTATTCCGTAATATACTATATATTTGTGTCTGTGACATATATATGAGATCTATATTATATAAACCGTGAGTAGACATCGTTGTCATGAACTGTTAACCACTTATGTGAGTTTTTCAAGCCGATTTTGTTCCGCCCGGATTTCGGGCGGAAACTGCATCAAAGAATTAGTGCTTCGGAAATGAGAGGTCGCAGTCGGCAAAATCATATCCGATTAAAAAAAGGCCGACCAGTGGCCTCTCATGTTATGGGAGTACTACCATGGAGTGCTATATATTTACTTCATACCAATTATTTGAAACATATTCAGGTGAGTGATACAGGCCCTCTGGGCCTCTTGTTTCAATAAGGAGTTTTCTCCCTTCTATATAAAAGATGGTGCAAACCAAGAGAATATTTCACAGAAGTGACAATGTTAATATTATAGTTTAACTTAGTGGTTACCTTTCGGTTAAAGTTAATTCCACTATACATGAAGAATATGGTTTTCTTGATTGGCCAAGTTGTGGTCACGTGTGAGTCAGTATTTCACTCACTATTTTTAGAAACATCAGGTCAATATTTTCTTCTTGATGTGACTTGCATTTATCCTTGTACATTGATTTGAAGATATTATTATTATGACTGACCTCTTTAACCTTTGACATCTGGCATGGCTTGTGTTTAACCTTTGAACTTTGTTTCGATGTAGGTGGTTGGCTGGATTCTCGGGCCTGGAGAGAAGTTGTTGTCGTCTCAAGTTGATATTGGAGATTCGTACGAGACGGCTAACGAGTTACGACGACGTCATGAGGAAATGGAAATAAAATGCATGGTAACCAACACCATAGCAGTATTACAAATTGAAAGCTGAATAATTTTTTGAAATTTCTTTCAAACTACAATCAAACCTGCCTATATATCCACCTCTGTTAAGAGACCACCTGTGTTAAGAGATCCCTTTTAATGATCCTGAACTGAACACCCTGCAATAATATACAACTTTTTGACTTCCCAGGGGTGGTCTCTTTAATACAGGTTTGAATGTAGACATGGTTTTCTTGAGAATATCATAAACATGAAAATCCCAATGCCATTAGGACATATACCATCTGTTGTATTACAAACTTGCACTAGTATTCACAGCTTCAATAGGACCCCAAAATGTTACATGGAAAAGTAAATAAGCAAACCTTTTCTCATTAATAAAAAATTCTCCACAGAAAATTCAAGTCAAGTATTGCCTTTAGAATATAAAGCATAATCAAAATAAATGACAACTTTTCAGAAATTCAGCAACGAATTTTACTTCTGCTAAAAGGTAATGTAGGAATTTCACAAAGTTTTGTATGCTTAGGCATTATATTGTTTTGTATTGTCAAGGATACGTACGGCCAGTATGCAGAGCTGCGCTACAAAGCAGAGGAGTTGACGGAAGAAGACCACCCCGGACGCGACGACATTCACAGCGTCCGTGACTATATGGATACCGTCTGTCGTTGCTTCGCCAGTCGTCTGGAACGACGCAGGACACTTCTTATCACCTCTGTCAGGTTCCACAGACTGGCTGAGGATGTGAGTAGATATAGGTCAAGGTCAACTGGCTTACATGTTAAAGGTCAAGGTCTTATTATGTTTTCCTCACCTCTGTTAGGTCTCGGAGTCTCACAGAGGCATTGTTAGTAGTCATAGGTCAAGGCCAAAAGGTGTACAAAAAAGGGTCAAGGTCGTAATATATGTTCATCACCTGAATCAGGTTTCAGTGGCTGACAAAAGAGGTGTAAGTTGATATAGGTCAAGGTAAATAAAGTGTTCCAAGAAATTGATTAGGTTTCATATTATTATAGAGGATGTTTTGGCAGTTAGTGATTCAGATTTTAAAACATCTCCAACTGAAATGTAAAACTTATAGTATCTCCTCATCATGTAAAATAGCGTCACAGTTTAAAAGAAAAGATTCAAGTAAATTTGAAAGTGTCATGCTTTTTGAGTATCTCCTTATCATCTAACATAGTAATTTATAGTGTCAAACCACTTGAATACTACAGCACAGATACTGCAACACCCTTCCCAGACCAAAACACTACAGCACAGATACTGTAACACCCTTCCCAGACCAAAATACTACAGCACAAATACTGCAACACCCTTCCCAGACCAAAATACTACATCACAGATACTGCAACACCCTTCCCAGACCAAAATACTACAGCACAGATACTGCAACACCCATCCCAGACCAAAATACTACAGCACAGATACTGTAACACCCTTCCCAGACCAAAATACTACAGCACAGATACTGCAACACCCTTCCCAGACCAAAATATCTTGTACTTTTGACTGGTGCAGTTGAGTTGAGCAACAAGGAAACCATATCTTGTTCAGAAATAAAACCACATCCTGCCAGCTGGGGGATCCAAACTTATGACCCTACAGATAGTAGACTGGTCCCCTACCAGCTGTGCCATGGAACCCTTTAATGCTACTTTACAGAGCTATGTCTTTTGTTGTGTTGAACTCGCTGAATCACCGTAATGTGAAAACCCTAAAACATCATGTTCAAGATATGTCAATTTTTGCATTGAATTCACTGATACATCCTACTGCAAATACCTTGAAAATAAAATGGCAGTGAAAATGATCATGTATACGGTATTATAAATTAAGAATTGAGGAGGACTGATTGACTAATTACATTATGATTTTATTTACTTGTACAATGTTTGAACTTTGTTGGATCAGTTTTCCCAGAAGCTGGATAGCCTGTTGGAACTCCTGTGTACGGAGACGGAGCTGGTAGATGTGGATACAGCAGAAAAGGCCCTGGCAGAGCTCAACGAAAAGTGTGACAGCATCGGTAAGTTGGATGTTTGCAGGCATTTATATAATATTACAATATGTACAAATTTCTTATTCAGCAAACAGCAAGTTCACAAAGGGCCAAAATAACAATTTTCATGAAACGGTAAATCTGATCAAAAGAAAAGAAGATTTTTTTGATGAATAACTCAAAAACAAATTCATGTTTTAAATTTTTCAAAATTTACAGCAGGAAAATTTCTGCCAAATCTGTTTTTCGGTGAAGGTGGTAATTCCACAAATTTTTTTCAACTAGACATGATTTGAAAAGTTCAACCATGTAGTTATAAGGATTAATTACAGAAAATGCGTGAGCTTTTATTTGCTAACATGTTTGTTTTATAGTCAATGTAAAATTTATGTTTTACAGACTTGGCAGCAACACAGTCTATTGCAGATGGACAGAGTCTACTTGACGAGATGTCTCGGCCAATCAAAAATGCGTCTGGCAAGGACATTTCTCCGGACTACGACAGCCAGATAAAACACATCAACAAATATCTGGAAGATTTACAGGAAAGAAAGATGAGATGTGACGACCTCGCTGACGTACGGAAACTCAAACTACAACAAATTTTACAACTACGCACCTGTGAACGAGACGCTGACCAGGTACATTATTGTGCTACACTGATATCTCATTGTGTAGCGAAAACTTTACATCGATTTGTTGACCTTTGCTCACATACTTGCAGATTTTGATGTGTAATTAATCTTGACACAACTAGGTAGTGCTGTATAGCCGTATATTTCCGCGGGGGGATATTTTTCGCGATTTCACGGGTCAATAACGTTATTGCGAAAATATGATCTGCAGAATAATATAACAAGCATAACAAAAAGCTGCGATAAGAAACTTGTAGTGATTCATTGACATCAGGAGTAATACAAGATGTTGGAGAATAGATTTGATCACATACCTGTTGAATCTTGTTAGAGTAATACAAGCAATTTTCAGACCATGAAATACAACGTTCTGTATTGCACATGTGCAATACGGAATGTTATATTTACCTACTAGCCTGAACTACTTTTTATGGGAATCCCCTTGTCATGGCGAACTGAAAAGTTCACAGTTTTTGCAAAAAATATCAAATATTATATAATCTTTGTACTGATCTCTACCAAATACGGAAGGTATGTGATAAAAGCAAGACCACACACTTGTGTTTTTCTAAGGAATCAGAAAGCATGAGTTTATTCGAGGACGAATATATTCACATGTTATAATTTTGTTGCTGATTTGTTTAACAAAAAACACTTACTCGTTTTGGCTCGATATGCTGTAATAAAGCGTATTTGTTTGACTATTTGACATTATATATGTTGAGTGTCCCGTCTCTAAAAACTGCAAAATGTTAGTTTCTTCACATGTCTAGATTGAGAAATTATAATCTGTGTAAATTCAATTTTCCAATTCTGGTCAAAATTTGAGGAAGTTGAAAATTTAGGTCTGCATAAATAACCCACTATACGGTGGTATGCCGACGTTTTGTTGAGATCAGCCATCATGATTTGTTTGTAAAAAAAATGCAATGCTCGCAAATATAGGTCACCTCAAGTTAAGTTAAAAGAGGTATTAAATGCTTACCCCTTTAATTCACTTTTATGTAAAGCCGTAAAAGGTCCCTAAGACCATGTGAAAACTAGTCCCATCAAAGATATTATTTTTTCTACTTTTTCTTCTTCAATTTTCTTATCATATATAGGTCACTTAAGATCACAGTTATGTATCAATAAGGCTACAAAAGATTTATAAATATGTAAATTTTAAAGGTCACGACAGGTCGCTGAGGTCATGTTAACTTGTTAGGCTATAATGGGTACCATTTTACCTTGCAGGCGATCGCGTGGATCCGAGAGCTTTGTGAGGTCATGCTGTACACACACACCAGTATGGGACATACACCGCAGGAGGCCGAAGTCCTTCAGGAGGAACACAAGAAATTTGAGTCCACTGCAGAGGTTTGTCAACATTTGACTGGTAGATTGATTTAAAGGTTTTAAAAAAAAATGAATTCACAGCAAGAATGTTATGCCAGATTTAAACAAACGTTATTAAAAAAATGGATAATAAAAATTAACCAGTTCCCAATTGTCACAAAGAGCTTAAAGGCAAATAATAACTTAAATATAAAGTTAATAAATTTGGACTAAAAAATTGGCCTGAGGCCTCAAATATACTTGTGATATGGAGGCCATTGGCTGTGATCCTGTTGTTTTAACTTCTTTGTTACTCGTAGCAGAAGAAGAAATTGTCAAAATAAATATATATTGTTGAGGCCCTGGAGTTAAATCCTAATCTGACAGTTTTATTTTCCAACTCCCTTTATTTGGGACGTATTAGGAAAACATTACTTTAAAACTTGCTTATATATGACTTGAACGAGATTCTCAGTACAAAATTTGTCATACGTTATTTAGGGTACATACGACTATGGCAAACAACTACTGCAAGCAGCGTTCGTTCTACGGAGATCTTTGAGGATTGACCTTGCTCCCAATGAGGAGCGTGTGGTACAACTCGAGGAGGCGTGGACACGTTTCACCGGGGGATCAAATGAGCGAGCTAACAGACTGACTGTGGCGGCCATGTTCCTGTCGTCTGCTGAAAAGGTACCTTAATTCATAGGAAGCCCAGGGCCATTTTGTTTATTGCTCGGCTAGAATGGTTGAACCAGAGTTGTTCGTTAATAAGATGACTGACCTGGTGGATTCATGATGTTTTCTGTATGATAAGTTTTTGCCTCTCCTGAATCAAAGCTTAATTGTTCTAATCCAAGAAAAGTTTCAGAGTCAAATTTTGTTCTTATCAGACTTTGAATGTTATCAGATCTGAGGACTAATACTCCCGAGAAATACCTCCAAACAGAGTCAAGAGCAAGAATGTTAGAGAAGAAATGCTCAGCATAGAATGACAGCATTTTTTTTCCTCTGGAATTCACAACAACAAGGATACCAACGTCTTGGCTTTGACGACTTTGAAGGCCAACATCAACATTGGCTGTTTTCTTTGGGTTTTGCCCCTGAAGTAATACATTTAAAAATGACCATACTAGCTGGTCCTTATGCATGCACAGGCCCCAGTTATTGTTAACCCTGACCTTAATCAAGGGTTAGGCTGTGGTGAACTCTAGTGCACTGTTAGGCATGGGTTCGACTCCGATGTCGGGAGTAACTTGTGTTGAATCTCTAAACAGGGTCTTAGAATCATTGTTTGAAAATTTAATGATAGAATTAATTCCCTGCATCAGAAAGAGTGTCTTAAAGTTGTATGTGTTTAAATCCTTGTAATGATCTCCGACGAATTTTGTATGTGTCAAAATAAATTTGAAAAAAAAGTAAAAGTAGAGACGTAAGAATTTGCCACAGTTTGAAGATGAAGAATTTTGGTAAATGCGTAAGTCGAGAAATTTGATTGGCCGAGAAGAGACAGCGAAAGAAGGACAGTAATTTTGGAAAGCTTATATGAAATAAGAGAAAAAACTACACATTATAATTGATATTTGGAACATTCAGTTTCAACAGAATTTTATTCAATAATCAGGCATGGTTATTATATACATGTAGTTTCCGAGGGATTGAGAAACAAGCTTAGAGCTCATATTAATTCCTATAGAAATTTAATTTCCTGTTTTCATTTGCAGCTATTCGACCAACTGGAGCAACTTATGAAGCCTGTTAGTCAGGCTCTAGCAATGGAGATAACTGCTCATGACGTGTTAAGGCATCATACTGCCAGCAAGGAACATCTAGAGAGCGAATACAACGATACAAATCACATGGGACGAGCGTTACTAGAGCGACTTTCGCTACCGATCATCCTTGTAGACAGGTAGGTCCGCAACACACCAACACTTATCGATCATGAATAGCATAGACAGGATTTTTCAAATAATATTGATTATCAAAAATATATCATTATTTTTGGTTATGCTCATTAATGTGCTTTGATGTCTTTTGTCATTGCCCTGGTTCTTGGTATGAGGACATGACATTTCTTTAACCCTTTCACCCCTATGTAACTTGAGTAGACTCTACCATTGATATAGATTAGTCCATTATGGTCTACAGTGGTGAAAGGGTTAATAGGATTTAATAGGAAAAGTAATGGATACAGGCATTGGGTGACTATAATCATATCTTATAGCATTACAATATACATATAATATTATTTGTCCCTTCCGTATATCTGCTTGTAACTAGCAAAATGATTGTTTTTAAGCTCTAGGTTTTGCCAATGTTTGTCCAAATTGATTTCGAAGTCTCTTACAATTGTTGAATTCATGATATATTGGGTGAGACCATTGTTCCGTTACTTTGATTTGACCTAGATGTACATGGCAGGTGTCGTCAGTGAAGCAGAAGAAACTGACCCTTCCGGAACACCTCATATTTTTCTTGTACTTTATCAAGGGTCTCCATGTAAATTCTCTTTTTGTTCCTGTTTTGCCGTAGTTTTATCGATTTTGAGATCAAATTACAACATTGTTAACCCAATGGTATTCTCTTATTGTGTCTTCAATTCATAAAATGATGCAATACTTTCTCTGTTGCACTGGTTTAAAGCCTTTCTACCTGGCTATCCTAAATGAAATGATCCTCTTTTGGTGATTATTTTGAAAAATTGTGGTAAAATGACCAGTCTTTCTGTTACAGGGACAACAAACAGGTTTCTATTGATGACCAAGGAGCCAGCGAAAGCATCGTTGGTAAATTACGTAAACTAGATCGACAGATGCAGGAGCTGAATCAGGGCTGGGAGGAGATGCAGCAGGTTCGGCGTCATGCTGTCCCTCAGCCCCCGCAGAGAAGCTCCAGTCAGCGAAGCCAGACCCTTCCCAGGTCCAACACTGGGTCGATGAGGTCAAATGAAACCCCCCCACAGAAGTCAGAGAGTATGCGTCGCAGGCCCCGCCAGTGGACATCGGAGGTAGACAGTCGCGGAGGCCCCTCCATCTCAGAAGGACGGGTTTCAGATCCTAACCAGGGCCGAAAAGTAGTGAGGGAAAAGATACAAAAACTTTCAAACGCTCCTCAAGAGAGTGCCGTTTCCAGCAGCTATGTTGTCCCTGTGAGGTCACAACCTTTGCATCAGAGGTCAAAGTCCACGATACCTGCCCATCCAGGGGTGAGGACTCGGGAAGGTGATCGCCTATACCGACAGCTGGAGGAGGTTGGTCTTTCTCTTTTGCTGTATCATTGTGACACAGGTTCTTTTACACGTAATCACAATAGCATATACTTGGACTGTTATGCAGCAAATTAATGTCATCATGTAAACAATTGAAATATATAATAATAATAATAATAAACTTTATTTATTGAAGATACAAAACCTGTTTAGCAAAGCTAATCTTCCACAGGGTCCTCTATGTAGTATCACATCATAGGGAAGACAAAACTTGCTATGACTGAGCTACACTGTAAAATGAACAGGTATATTAGACCTGTTATGATTGGCTGGGTACACTGTACAGGTATATAAGACATGTTGTGATTGGCTTGACACAGTGTACAGGTATATAAGACCTGTTGTTGTTGGCTAGCTACACTGTACAGGTATATAAGACCTGTTTTTATTGGCTAGATACAGTGTACAGGTATATAAGACCTGTTGTTGTTGGCTAGATACACTGTACAGGTATATAAGACCTGTTATTATTGGCAAGATACACTGTACAGGTATATAAGACCTGTTGTTATTGGCTAGATACACTGTACAGGTATATAAGATCTGTTATACTGTTATAATTGGCTAGAAACACTGTACAGGTATATAAGACCTGCTATTATTGACTAGATACACTGTACAGGTATATAAGACCTGTTATTATTGTCTAGATACACTGTACAGGTATATAAGACCTGTTATTATTGGCTAGTTACACTGTACATGTGTATGAGACCTGTTATTATTGGCTAGATACACTGTACAGGTATATAAGACCTGTCATTATTGGCTAGATACAGTGTACAGGTATATAAGACCTGTTATTATTGGCTAGATACACTGTACAGGTATATAAGATCTGTTATACTGTTATAATTGGCTAGACACACTGTACAGGTATATAAGACCTGCTATTATTGGCTAGATACACTGTACAGGTATATAAGACCTGTTATTATTGGCTAGTTACACTGTACATGTGTATGAGACCTGTTATTATTGGCTAGATACACTGTACAGGTAAATAAGACCTGTTATTATTGGCTAGATACAGTGTACAGGTATATAAGACCTGTTATTATTGGCTAGATACACTGTACAGGTATATAAGACCTGTTATTATTGGCTAGATACACTGTACAGGTATATAAGACCTGTTATTATTGGCTAGATACACTGTACAGGTATATAAGACCTGTTATTATTGGCTAGATACACTGTACAGGTATATAAGACCTGTTATTATTGGCTAGATACACTGTACAGGTATATAAGACCTGTTATTATTGGCTAGATACACTGTACAGGTATATAAGACCTGTTATTATTGGCTAGATACACTGTACAGGTATATAAGACCTGTTATTATTGGCTAGATACACTGTACAGGTATATAAGACCTGTTATTATTGGCTAGATACACTGTACAGGTATATAAGACCTGTTATTATTGGCTAGATACACTGTACAGGTATATAAGACCTGTTATTATTGGCTAGATACACTGTACAGGTATATAAGACCTGTTATTATTGGCTAGATACACTGTACAGGTATATAAGACCTGTTATTATTGGCTAGATACACTGTACAGGTATATAAGACCTGTTATTATTGGCTAGATACACTGTACAGGTATATAAGACCTGTTATTATTGGCTAGATACACTGTACAGGTATATAAGACCTGTTATTATTGGCTAGATACACTGTACAGGTATATAAGACCTGTTATTATTGGCTAGATACACTGTACAGGTATATAAGACCTGTTATTATTGGCTAGATACACTGTACAGGTATATAAGACCTGTTATTATTGGCTAGATACACTGTACAGGTATATAAGACCTGTTGTTATTGGCTAGATACACTGTACAGGTATATAAGACCTGTTATTATTGGCTAGATACAGTGTACATGTATATAAGACCTGTTATTATTGGCTAGATACAGTGTACATGTATATAAGACCTGTTGTTATTGGCTAGATACACTGTACATATGTCTAAGACCTGTTATTATTGGCTAGATACACTGTACATGTAAATAAGACCGGCTATTATTGGCTAGATACACTGTACAGGGATATAAGACCTGTTGTTGTTGGCAACCTATCTATAGATACAGTGTAAAGGTAAATAAGACCTGTTATTATTGGCTAGATACCCTGTACAGGTATATAAGACCTGTTGTTATAGGCTAGATACACTGTATAGGTATATAAGACCTGTTATTATTGGCTACATACACTGTACAGGAATATAAGACCTGTTGTTGTTGGCAACCTATCTATAGATACAGTGTAAAGGTAAATAAGACCTGTTATTATTGGCTAGATACCCTGTACAGGTATATAAGACCTGTTGTTATTGTCTAGATACACTGTACAGGTATATAAGACCTGTTGTTATAGGCTAGATACACTGTATAGGTATATAAGACCTGTTATTATTGGCTAAATACACTGTACATGTAAATAAGACCTGTTATTATTGGCTAGATACACTGTACAGGTAAATAAGACCTGTTATTATTGGCTAGATACACTCTACATATGTCTAAGACCTGTTATTATTGGCTAGATACACTGTACAGGTATATAAGACCTGTTATTATTGGCTAGATAAAGTGTACTTGTATATAAGACCTGTTATTATTGGCTAGATACCCTGTACAGGTATATAAGACCTGTTGTTATAGGCTAGATACACTGTATAGGTATATAAGACCTGTTATTATTGGCTACATACACTGTACAGGTATATAAGACCTGTTGTTGTTGGCAACCTATCTATAGATACAGTGTAAAGGTAAATAAGACCTGTTATTATTGGCTAGATACAGTGTACATGTATATAAGACCTGCTATTATTGGCTAGATACACTGTACAGGTATATAAGACCTGTTATTATTGGCTACATACACTGTACAGGTATATAAGACCTGTTGTTGTTGGCAACCTATCTATACAGTTTATTATGATCGTAGTATTAGGTAGATGATGTGCGATATTTGGGGTTCCACTGGGCTGTATGTATTGACCAGATATTGTGTAGGTATTTCTTGGCTGTGTTTATATTGTTACCACACACACACAAACCTCTCATGTTCTCGTCTTGGCATTAGCCATACATTTCTCTACCACTCTTCCAAGCCAGAAATTATTATCTTTTTTGTGACTAAAGAAATATTGGCTCTGAAGAGAATTCTTGTTACCAAAATATTTTTGTTGCAAGCCAGTTTCATAAAAAAAAGTTCAACCTGATGTATGTGAGTTTTCTGATATCAAAGTTATCAAATTGTTGGTTAGTCTTACAGTGCTACCCCGTAAATAAACCTACATATTTCAAGAAAAGAAAAAAATCAGGTTATATTTTCCTGCTTCATGTGACAAATCTGACTGTGCAGTCTTACAAACATTGAGTAGATAATTTTATAAACGAAGTTTCTGAGTGTCCTGCAAATCTTTAGGTCAGCTGATGAGGAGACGACCAGTGGGGAATTGATAACAACGACTTGTTGGTGTTAACTGCGTAGATATAAGGTAGCTGTTGGTATCCGTGTTGATGTGAATTCCTCAGGAAAAAACTTAAGCCGTCATTCTATGCTGAGCATTTCTTCTCTAACATTCTTGATCTTGTCTCTGCTTTAAGGTATTTCTCGGGAGTTTTAGTCCTCAGATCTGATAACATTAAAAGTCTGATGTGAAAAATTTGACTCTGGAACTTTTCTCGGATTAAAACTATGAAGCTCCATTTCATGAGATACAAAAATGTTTCATTTAGAAATAATTTTGGATTAATTTTGAAAAGAAAAAAGTAGAGAAGTGAGAATGGAACAGAAAACAAATATTCCAAACGTTGCAATGGGGGCAGAAGATCAATTCTGGTTTCTTCAGTTTTAGGGGTTGGGGGCAGGGCTGGGGGTGGGGGCACATTTGTTGCCTCTTACTACATACTGTAACATGCAGTGGGATACAGCAAGCCTATTCTCTCAAACCTGCAGGGTTTTCCAAGGGATTTGATGTCCGGCCTAGGCTTATGTAAGCCCTGGCCTTTATAACCTATATGTACAATATATATATATATATATATATATGATTGCCAATGCAAAGGTACTTGTGTTGGGGTAACGTATCTGAATCAGAATTTTTGAAACAGCGACTGGTAAGAAATTTGTTTAACAAGTTTGAGTGTTATGTAAGCACTGTCTGGTACAGAAATAGAAGTCGGATGTGAGATACAGATACATCACACAAGTTTGGCAGGTTTATCTGACATACAGATATCAGGAATCCATAAGTAACATCAGGGATGGGTCTGTGGGCCCTGACTTCACCACCGGTCTGTAGCCATCAGAGTTCTACAGGCTACAACCCAACTACCATAGATAGTCTAAAATTTGTAAGTTACAGCAAAAATACAGCATATCTGAAAAATATATGTCTGTTACTGCAAGTGTTCTGTAGGTCATAGACAGAATTTTTTGATTGATTGAATGATTGGTTTTACATCCACTACTGAGTAGTTCGGTTATATTTTATCAAGCAGAATGATTCACAGGAACTTGTTTACCCCCATACCCCAAACCATTTTATATGGGGTGAGGGGGNGATAAAATAGAATTTAGGATTCAACAACAGGAAAATAGAATTTGTATTTAAGGAAACGCCTTTCGATATGTAGGAGAATTATGGTTGTACATAGGTATATCTAGTATCTATAAGTTTGGCAGATGTTCAGATATGTGATATAGGTATTGGTCTGTATAATACTGTACAGAATATATATATATTTCTTCTGTGGAAAGTAGCTAGCTGGGGATTAGAAAATACATCCACATCATATACTAAAGGATGTGAGGAGGGATGGGGGAGGAGGGATGGAGAAATACATATACATTATATACTAAAGGATGTGAGGAGGGGTGGGGGAGGAGGGATGGAGAAATACATGCACATCATATACTAAAGGATGTGAGGAGGGGTGGGGGAAGAGGG